CTGGGCCGGAGGGAAGCGGTTTAAAGGGACCCCCCCGGAACGCCCCAAGAACGCGGCGGGAGGCGCCTGACGTCTGTTCTTCCCTTTTATTGGAAAAAAAAACCCCAAATCTCGTTGTTAAAAGATGCCGTTTTGAGGCGAGCGGGCAGAGCCCCTCCGCCTCCTTTCTTCCACCTGGTAGGGAAGCTTCCCCGCAGAAACGGCATCACCTCTCCTCCCTCCCCCACACAGAGGTGGTTTTTGTATAAAACAATCCCCTACCCTCCCCCGTCAGATAAATATAAAAATAAAAAAGGAACTGGTTCGCGAGCGGAGAGTTGTTTTACAGAAGGGTTTTGTCCTGAATTCCTAGTGCGAGGTGCGGGGTGAAACCCCCGGCGCGGAGGTGAGGCACCGGGGGCGAGGGTCCCCTCCTGAGGGGCCCCGCGGGCAAATCCCCCTCCAAGGTCCGCCCCGGAGGCGGCAGGATTCAATCGTACTGTTTTATTAAAATTTAGGATCCAAGATTAAAAAATCCCGCTTATTCCAAAGGGAATAGGATTTCAGGACAAAAACAGAGGCCGTGCTTGACTTTCGTTGCGATTTTACTTTATTGGTGTTCATTTAGCACGTTCCCGGAGGCAGGCGGCGTCAAAATCACTTTGTTTTCCTCTCCAGGGCCAGGCTGTCGTGCAGCTTGGACACCTCCGGCTCGTAGGCCTCCATCACCAACGTCCCGTTGGCGTCGAAGAACTTGGCGATGGATTTGGTGAACTCGGCTTCCCTCTGCTGTTTGGTTTTCCCGCTGATGAACGTCAGCTTCAGGGTGTACTTGTCGTCAAACCTGCGGGCAGGGCAGAGAGAGTTCAGAGCAGGGTTTGTTAAGCCTGGCTTAGCCGAGACGGCCAAGGAAAAGCCGACGAGCGACCCCCGGCTTTAGGGGGGAGCCCCCGGGAGCGGAGTCCCCGCGCGCACGCAACGCGCGGGCGCTCATCGTAACACCATTAAAGGTTGTGAATGAACGAATCTCTGCGAGATCCGTTTTCCCCCCCTCGCTTCGACAGAAGTCGAGCGCTGGCGGGAGATCCCCGCTGGGCACCGCTCCCGTTTCCCGACCGGGAGGGGGATTTTTGCCAGAGCGAAGCAGCGTCGCGGGTACACAAATAACGGCAGATCTTTAGGGCGACCCTACGGAGCGACACGGGTGGGAAGGGCGCCCGCCGGGCCGGCGCAGATGGCGGCGGCGAGCATGACTTCTGCATAATGACATTCTGCGGTGAATATTCATTTGCCTGGGAAGTTATTTAATACTGATATATTAATATATTTAACATTGATATTAATATATTTACCGTTGATATTAATATATCTAATAATTGGCTTTATATATTTAATAATCAATATATATTTATATATATAATATATAATCAATATATATTGATGATAATATAATATTATAATATACAATTTGTAATCAATATGTATTTCTATATTTAATAATCAATTTAATATGGATAGGAATAGATTGTTATTTAATATTGATATTAATATATTTAATAATTGATTTTATATATTTAATAATCAATATGTTTATATATAATATATAGCCAATATATATTGATGATAATATATCATAATATATAACAATATAATTATAATCAATATATATTTATATATATTTATATATATTTAATAATCAATTTAATATTGATAGTAATAGATTGTTATTTAATATTGACATTAACATATTTAATAACTGATTATATATATTTAATAACCAATATATATTTATATATAATATATAACCAATATATATTGATGATAATTTAATATATAATATTATAATATACAATATATAACCAATATATATTTTTATATATTTAATAATCAATTTAATATTGATAGTAATAGATTTTGTTATTTAATATTAATATATTTAATAATTGATTTATATATATTTAATAATCAATATATAAAATATATAATCAATATATTGATGATAATATATATAACCATATAGAATAATATATAATCAATATATATTTTTATATATTTAATAATCAATTTAATATTGACAGTAATGGATTTTATTTGTTATTTAATATAGATATTAATATATTTAATATTTAAATAACTGGGAAG